ACTTAAAAGAAAGAAACCAACTTTAGAAATGGTATGTTCTAATATTAGCTTTTTAAGGATTTATAAATTACTTGCCTTCGTTTAGCAATGATTTTGTGCTTCTCCAAAGTTGTACTAGCTATTTGTTTGAGACAACAACAAATACAGAATTTTGATGAATGGTAATGGTGAAATATGTAGTCTCAACACTTCCAGCAAGTAAATACCAGACAATTATCACAATAGCAGAAGCTGGGCTTTTAATAATGGTGTCTTGCAATGATTTCCTAAAGTAGATGTCCTCTGTCAGGATGGTGGCTTTATTAAAAGCAGATTTGAGTGCTTGCTAGAGCTACCAGTGCAGCCCAGCAATAGGTGGTTGCTCGGATGATTTCACACTGCAGGCAGCGTTTCAGTGGTTAGCCTGTCCTGTGAGCCCATCCCTGTTTGTGATTAAACTAAAAATCCTTGAAAACAGCGAGACTTAACATACTGAACATTTTTTCTTTTTTTGGAAAACATTACTTGCTCTTCCTTCCCTTGCTTCTTATTTCATTTCTCCTTGCTACTTTACTACTATTTAAATTCTGCATGCTGAGGATTAGTTTCCCCAGTTCCTCTGTGTACCAATACCTCAACAAAGATACTGCAAATCTTCTTTTTTCCACTTACTTGTATGGTCTTATAAAACATCTGGATGTAAAGATAAGTCAGCCGCTTGCTGGCTGTCTGCCCGAAAACAGTCTGAAACTCTGGCTGACCAGAGAACGGTCCAAGTTTTTTTGTTACTGAACGTGTGGGATCTGTGAAGGTATTAGCTAAAGTATCTTGGTTTTATTTAATATCTTTTTTAGAAATTACCTTTAATCCCCGTCCCCTGACATGCATATAGAGAGGAATGGTCAGCTGTTCCTAGGAGGAGGTTTTAGTGGTAGAAATATCATGGAGACGAATGGCAGCAGAGAAAGATCTGAGGAGATACAAATAGGCCGTGTGTTACAGGCACTAGTTCAAATCTGCACAGGAATCTTGCCTCTTGGGCGTTTCTGTTGAGCGCTGGGGGCACAGTGTAAATGTTGACATCCTCTTCCATAACACTGTGATGGCTGGAGTGAAAATCTGCAGGAGGAAAATGGAATTTTCTCTGTTCAGCCAAAAGCATCATTATAATAAATTTGAGTGGAATTAAGTACATGGAACAAAAAGCATGTGAGGCAGGAAACGTGGGCTCTCTTTAAAGACTCTTTGCATTTACTGAAATGTTTAAATCCCTCTTGCCACAGAGGGGTAAACGTTCTGAACAGTAATGCACTGTCTCAGAGTGCTCAGAGATCCTCCGGTAAAGTTTCAACTTTTAAGGCATTTTATATTTGAGCATGGGGGAAACTGCATTCCAAAGTGTGTGAGTCTACATGGGCCATGAATGGAAATTGCTAATGGTTTGCATTTATCCTGGAATGTGCGCCAAGAACAAACATTATTGTGTAAAGAAATCTGCATGTACTACATGAAGTTTTGCATGTACCGCCAGCATCTTTTTTTTTTTTTTTTTCAGATGAAAAGGGGTGTTTTTGTTGGAGAATGGGAAAAATTGAGACTTATTCATGTTCCTTGAGCAAGTCTTCCATATTTTTTTAGTAAGACAAATAAAAAGATTCCATTATGCCCGCTTTTGAAAAAGAAGAGTACTGGAATGTTTTACGTACTTAAGACTTTAATATAACCTTTGCTTTTTATAGCATCATATAATATCTCAAGTTGAAAAGGACCCATAAGGATCATCAAGTCCAACGCCCATAGATCCACCGGTAAATATGGAGAAGGTAGCTTATTTAAACCCAGCTGCTGATTTTTTTGACCTATGAAAAACAATGTCATCCAAACTATACTGACAGCTCAATCTCAGAAGTCTGTTTGCACACAGGCACAGTTAGTTGTTTTCTTTTTTAAATAAATAGGCTTTTGTGGTTTGTGCCAGTGTCAGTTTCCACATTAGATCCAGCAATCATATCAAGTACCACTGCATTAGATTAACTGGTTAATTCTGGCATCTGATGCTGTTGCAAACCAAGTATTGGGAACAGAAGGATCACAACCTACTAGGCAGTGAGTGCATGCTTTAGTCAGAGGTTCCAGTTACAACATTTGGTGTCTACAGCATCTGTCTGTGTACAACTTCTGGTGAATGTCTATAAAACCAACTTAATCACAAAGCAAATAACAGCATGCAGCAATAAACTGCAGTATTTGATTGTTGTATGTCATGTCTTCTGTCTCTCTACTTAAACAGATTTAATCTGTCTTGGGATATTGTGTTGAGCTAGGCTTTATTTAAAGTTGGATTTGTATGTGCGTAAAAGCACTTGCATTAAGAGAGAGATGTATGTATATGTAGAGAGGTATGTTAATCAAATCTCCTAGGTTTTGCATTTATTTTGGGTTATTGTCTATGTGGCAGTCATTCTAGTTTCATGTTTTAAGTTGCAGTGCACATATGAAGCAAAATGATTTGGGAAATCTATGAAATAGGATTTGGATAGTGTCTCGTTTGTTTGGCTTGCCTGCTGTTCAGCAGTCTTATCAAATGCAGCTATATACAGTGAGACTTATTGCTTGCAATATCCTTAAAGTAAATCTTCAAGTGCTGTATGAAACTTTTGAAGCTATAAACCAATAACATTTTCTGCTACAACCAACTGTAGGTAGGGAAAACTTATATCCTCTCTTAATCCAGGAAGCCTTTACATCACCGAGTATGTCTTTGAAATCGCACTTTATTTTGCAGTGTGTGAACCTCAAGAAAATGTCTGAGAACATCTATTCAACAACTCAGTTGCAGAATTAACAGCATCAGGTTGTTGCAAGCTGGAGAACACTTTTTCAGTTGGCTGTGACTCGAGTATATTTTTACCTGACAGCATTTGTGTGTGTTTTCCCATTAAGCTATTTATTGAAAATTTTTTAAGCATGTGAAGCTCTGAGACTGAAGTTATTTTTGCAAAGATTATCAGTCTTTATCTCAGTCAGAAGGAGGTCTGTGTGATTAAACCCATAGTCAGTGACAGTGGCCTTGGATTTAAAAAACAAAACCAAACAAAAAAAAAACCCAAAACAAAAACTAGTCATAAACTGCCAGCAGCTCATATGCTGGTATAAGATATACTGCAAATATTTTCATAACACAGAAGAGGAGAAAATTGTGATATCATGAACAGGAATGTGAAAACAACCTTTTCTAAGTAACTAGCAGGTAAGTTTATTCTTTTGATTCTTTTTTCATGTTGATATATTTCTTGTTAAGGATAGGTAACTTACATGGCAGGAGTTACGAAATCACATCTTTTCAGGAGCTGTGCATTCTTTCTTCCTTTCAAATTGGTTTGGATTTTTCCTTTGTCGGGGCCATTTTTTAAATGCAATTGATTTTTGTAAAGGTGCATGTAAAATAACTTAATGCTAAAACTTGTCAGAATTTGTGTACCTCTATATTGGTTAACTGAGGTATACTATTACAGATTATTTTGGTAAAGGATTCTGTTTGCGTCCCAAAATAAATAGGTGGTGAATTTGATTTGGAGTAATTTGTGCTCTCTCACACACCTCCATGAATACAGCTTTTTTTTTTTTTTTTTAAGATAAAGGAATTCAGAAATAAGTGCCAACAAAATGTTGAGACTGAAAGTGTTAAGACAATTACTTTGCTGATGGTATGCACACTAAAAATAATGGATCCATGACGTTTTTGGCTTCATAATCTAATTTGACTGGAATTTATCTATGTTTTCTAATAGTTAAATTGTGGCAAATATCGAAGGATCCCACAGGCAGAATTTCTGGCTTCACTAGTTGAGACCTGGAGATGATCTTACTCGTACTAAGAAAGCTAAGGATGTCAAAAAAGAACTGTGGGCTTGAAAGTCTTAATAATACAGAGATGTGGAATTTAATGTATATGTATTGGAATGTCATTGTATTTGAACAATTAAAAGGGGCATTCAGCAGTCTCTGTCAGTGGGACCTATAGACTTACTAACAGATTTCAGTGCAGAACTAATTGGGATTATAACTGTGGTGCTGTTTAGATTAAGAGCCTGCTAATATCCCCTCTGTAACCGAGTTCTCTCTCCATTAGTTAGGCTTCTCTGTAAGCTGTGGTCAGATCGACCTTTCTTTTGCTGGACACGCCTGAATAAGCAGCTTTCCTCCTTCTCCCTCCCTATCTCTACATTTTTTTTTTTATTTTTTGTTTCTCTCCAAATGTCTCTCCTAAGTTGACTGTGCTGTTTTCTTATGAAACACATTGAGGAACTGACCTGGGTCAAATTTAGTTAGCAGAAAAGAGGAGGTGTGGTTTTGTCTGTGTGAACCCTGATGGTTTCTCTGACACTGTTTCTGTGCAGTTGCCAGTTCATAATTACAGAGGAGTTGAGGGGATGAGGTGCTAAAGCTGCAAGAGGTGTAGGAGCTGCTTAATCAAGTACTGTCACCAAGAGCAGTGCTCCTGAATGAACAGTCTTACCGAGTCTGAAGCTTTCTGTATCTTCTGTGAATGTGACTTCTTGTCTGCCAGCACCACCAAGCTCAGAGAGGATGCTGATGAACTCAACTGGAGTGTTCCTTCCCTATGCCCTTGCAGTGCCTTCCCTACGTGGGACAGATGAGGTTCCCTCCAGTTACCAGAGAGGGAATTAATGAAGCTTTTATATGCAGCATGAAGTTACAGGGTGTCTCTCTGAGAAGATTTTTCATCATGCTGAAGTGCTAGTATGGAGAGCTTCTGCCCAAAATAAGCTAAGCTAGTTTAAGAGAATTTAAGAAGCATGGAGAACAACTTAAGTGAAGACTCTCTTAGATACTTTGAAAATTCTGCCTATAAGTGCATGAAATTATCTTCTAAATTCTTTGAATCATTAAAAACTTTATTTGAAGGTCAGAATTGCTAATGCCCATGTAAGTTAGCTGGACTTTCACATAACTTAGGAGTTTCTAATATTTTTTTTTATTTATGATTTTATTTTTAGAGAGCAGCAGTCTGCTATATCTGTGATCTACAATGAATGCCAAATCTGCAATCAGCAAAGAAATTTTTGCCCCACATGATGAAAGGATGCTGGGAGCTGTCCAAGTGAAAAGAAGAACAAAAAAAAAGATTCCTTTCCTAGCTACTGGGGGTCAGGGTGAATATTTAACATACATCTGCCTGTCAGGTAAGATTAATGTTTTTGACATGCAGTTACCTGTTTTGGTTTATCTTTGATTAACTGATTAGATGTTGTCTGTAGCCATAAGGAGCTGGGTGACTCAAATGTTAGTAATGTAACCAGAGAATTATGGCGCTTATTTCTTTAATCTTGAGAAACCACATGCTCAAGGCTATTAATGTTTATACCATATAATAAATTGAACAGGTGGTTTCATTGTTTAAAAAAAAAAAATGGGTGTTCTCTCACAGCATAGCTGCAGAGTATGAACAAATAGAATATTTGGTAGCAGTCTTTGCTTATTGAGGTTAAGATGTTTCTTGGAGGGATGAACTTTACAATGTATTTCCTTTTAATGCCCTGAAATTTTTTGTTTGAAGCAAATATGCTTTCCTCTGCTTTTCATATTTGCTGCTGTGTTACCAGCTCATTGGGTACTTAGATATACTACTTTCAGCCAGAATATTTTCAGTTCATTGAACAGAACAGCGGTGCTATGTGAAAATCACCTGACTTTAAAAGGGATGAAGATGAAAATATTTGGATTGAAAGAAGAAAAGGATGTGTAAAGACATGTTTTGTGAGAGGTCACGGGGAACAGGGAGAAATGATCTATTCATTGCTGATGTGTTCAGATGAAATTAATTTGAGTTTCTCCAAGGTCAAACCAGCGCTCGTGAGAGTCTGGATTTCAGGAACAGGATAGGTAGTAGCTGTACGATGTTTTGCTTTATATTTTCACCCTTTCTAATAAAAGTAAAGGTCTAATTTTTTTTTAAAGTGTATAAATTAAACTCATTGAGTAGGTAACTTGTGGTTAACTACGGTATCGTAGGTTTTTGGCTGGCTTTTTTTTATGCTTTGAGTACTTTCTGGTCATTGTAGTGACATTTACCTTAATTAAGATTAGGTCTCAAGGCAGCTGGAAAGCAGTTTGTGATCCTGATTTGCTTGTAGTTTACACCTGTTTTACAACTTAGAGTGGAATTCAGTTGCCTGGAAGTAGGCATTCAGTACACTTTTAGGTTTCTTGCTCTTCTTCCAGGTAGCTCTCTAGAAAGGCAGAAATCCCTTGTAGTTTCTGTCTGCCAACTGAGTGTGTGTGAATATCTTTGGTATCCTACGGTGATTTAGTCACTTAGGTTTTTAGGCATATCAGTTGGTCCCTTTGAGTGTGTGCGTCTTACTGGAAGTTAAACTAGTGGTCAGAGGAAGAATCATAGAATAGTTTTGAGTTGGAAGGGACCTTTAAACCAACCCCCTTGCAATAAGCAGGGACATCTTCAACTAGATCAGGTTGCTCAGAGCCCCGTCCAACCTGACCTTGAATGTTTCCAGGGATGGAGCATCTACCACGTCTCTGGGCAACCTGTTCCAGTGTTTCACCACCCTCAGCGTAAAAAATTTCTTCCTTGTATCTAGTCTGAATCTACCCCCCTTTAGTTTAAAGCTGTTCCCCCTTGTCCTGTTGCAACAGGTCCTGCTAAAAGGTTTGCCACCATCTGTTTTATAAGCCCCCTTTAAGTACTGATAGGATGCAGTGGATGCAATGTTTCCCTTTTTCCAGTCACCTGACTGCCATGACTTTTCAGATATGGAGAGTAGCTTGGCAACTACATCAGCCAATACCCTCAGGACTCTGGGATGCATCTCATCAGGTCCCTTGCATTTATATATGTTCAGGTTCCTCAGGTGGTCACAAACCTGATCTTCTGTTACAATGGGAGGGACTTTGCTCCCCCAGTCCCTGTCTTGTGGTCTATCTACTAGAGAGGTATGGGAAGAGAGGTTGCCAGTGAAGACTGAGGCAAAAGTGTTGTTGCATACCTCCGCCTTCTCCTCATTCGTTGTTACCAGTTCGCTACTCATGTTTATTGGGGGGGTACACTTTCTTCGACCTTTCTTTTCTGACTGAGTATTCTGGATTGCCTGCAGCTCACCGTGCTACTTTTCCAGCAGACGTCGGGGTGGTTGAAGTACCCCAGCAGGATGAGAGCCTGTGAGCGCAATGCCTCCTGTAGCTGGAGTAAGAAGGCTTCGTAAATAGGCTTCCCTTGATCGGGCAGCCTGTAGTAAACAACCAGAAGGTTCCCTTTGTTGCCTTGGTCTCTAATTCTTACCCATAAGCTTTCAACCTGCTTGTGGCTATTCTTCAGAGACAGCTTTTCACAATTTATCCATTTCTTGACATAGAGGGCAATCTCTCCTCCCTTCCTTCCTCACCTGTCCCTTCTGAACAGCCTGTAGCCATTGATGGCCACACTCTAGTCATGGGATTTGTCCCACCAAGTTTCAGTAATGGCAGCTAGGTCATAGCCTTCTAGCAGCACAGTGGCTTCCAATTTCTCCTGTTCGTTGCCCATGCTGCATGCATTGGTGTAGAGGCACTTCAGCTGCACTGTTGGCCATGTCAACTTCTTAGAACACACCTTAATTCCTTTGACGTACTTCACCGGTGTTTCCCTGTTGGCTCCTACTACCTCAGGAGCCCCTGGCTCATCTCTGTAAGACTTCGTGTGCTCCAGTGTACTCAGCACATCTCAGAACAACAGGCTGAGGGTCCTTGCTAGCACCCCGTCAAACCTTGGCGTGTCATCCCACAGCTTGTCATGGGCAAGCCTGATATTATTGTCCCTCCCCCTTCAAGTCTAGTTTAAAGCTCTGTCAATGAGCCCCACTAGCTTGTGAACAAAGATCCTCTTCCTTATTTGAGAAGGGTGAATCCCATCCAATGCCAGCAGGCTTGGTGCCATGTAGACCATCTCATTATCGAAAAACCTGAAATTGTGGTGGTGACATCAGCCACAGAGCCGTGTATTAATAGACTGGGTCCGTCTGTTTCTTCCAATGTTGTTGCCCACAACTGGAAGGATAGAGGAAAAAATTACCTATGCTCCAAATTCCTTTACCAAGGGTCCCAAGGCCCTGAAGCCTCTTTTGATTGCCCTTGGACTATGCATTGCTGCTTCATTGCCACCCACATGGAAGAGCAAGAAGTGCTCTATGAATCTTAGAAGATCACAATTATTTTTGGACTAAATGGAAGACTGTTTTATGGACTCTTTCAAATTTTTTTCCACTGAAAACTATGTTAAAACTTTCAAAACACAGGAAGTAAAACACTGTGACTCTACTACTGGTATAAGACATCACACACATGCACATAAAAGGTACATTTATTGAATGTTATTGAATGAAATGTTATTTGTATGCATGTGTACAAATGCTTATGTTAAAATAGAAGCTGCAGAGTATATGCACACACATACTGAGGACAGTGAGACAAAACAGAAGATTTCTCATTTCCAGCTAAGTGTTCTGCTTGTTATTCTCCCCATATACAGAGCTTCAAGGAACGGTTTAAAAACTGATTTCCTGAGGCTGTTCCCTAGACTTGTGGGATACTCTTTTTGGATGTAAGGATTGCAGGTTTCAATCCTCTCAGGTTGCAGAGGAAACTGAATCTAGGTCTCCCATCTTTTAAAGAAATGTTCAAATCACTAACCTTTTGAAGCAAAGCTCAACTCTTGTTCCTTTAGCAGTTAAATTTTTCAAGTATCAGTCTAATTTTTTTTCTAAGTCATCTAATTTTAAAGAACGATCCTGTTCTAGGGCCGTGCGGTCAGTTTTGGAATACCCACGGGATTGATAACCCACGTTCATGAGGAAAGGTTAGAGGTGTGATCTGTGCTTATAATTTTCTGTAGGCTAACTCTATTCAGTAGATGGATTTTTTTAAATTGCCATTCTGGGGAACCTAGCCCTCCTTCAGCTCCTCCACTCCCATGTTGATGTGTAGCAGCCAACATGGATTTTAAGAGATTGAATAATCTTAGATGCATCTAATGTCTTTCTGCAACAGGATAACATATTACGTGTAAGGAAGAAATGCAGATGTCCTGACTTCAGCAGAGTTTCTCACTGATGACAAGGAGAAGCATTCAGGATCTAAATAAAATTCCTGTATGGTGGGCACTGAAAAGCTGCATAATTACATTGGGAGAGCCCTCATGCATGGCTCACTATTAGTGGGATTTTGCAGGGATCTGAGACCAGTTGTTTTATATACATTTATATTTTATATTATGGAACATACAGTATGATTGGTAATTTCAGTAGACAACGAAGTGACTAGGGAGAGGACTGCCTGGCTGTGTGTGTGTTTGAGGGCAATATTAGAGTTCCAAACAGTCTGAGCAGAAAGGTGATGCAATTCAATAGGGTTAAGTGCAATTAGTTATTTAGTCAGGAGTAATCAATGGCACAAAACTAAGGGGTAGAGAACAACTGTTTCTGCCACTGTGGTTAAAGGAAATTGTGACAAGGATAAACCGTAGGTTTTGCTATTCCTGATGGCTGTGAAGCAATAATGGTTTTAGTTGCAGTAAGAAATTGTGTTACAAATAAAGAAAAACTTTTCCTTTAGTAAGGGTAGGTTAGTGTGGGGATGGCAGTTTAGCTGTGTCCCCAAAAGGTCTAAGATTAACTATATCTTGGGATAACAGAATATACTTGGTGACCTTCCATTTTTCTGTGATTTGGTACAATGAATGAGACACAATGGTGGCTACCTCTGGATTTTAGTTTCCATTTCAAGTGACACCTGGTTTAACACTGAGTGTTGCAACATCTATGTTGGAAACACCTTTATCAGTCTTTGACTCTTGTCCCATTTTTCCCAGGTTTGCTGTGTATCAGGTAAACGTAGTGACTGGAATATCTTGTATTCTTAGTTTCCTTGGACTAATTCAGTTTGGCCTTTGCTAAAAGGAATTTGATAATTTACTGTTCAGAACTGAATTTGTTAGTTGAAAGAATACACGTAGAAACTGATTTGTTAAGGGACTTATAAATGTTTGGAGATATAAAATTTCCTGCCTAGTTGTAGTTTCATTTAAGATAGGATCCAGAAAATTAAACATCAGCCATTGTGATAGCTACTTTTATTTACTGCTCAGTTTGTAACTGACAAATTGCACGATTTGTTATAATTGGAGTTAAATGTT